AATTTAGTGATCATAAGGTGACTAATTAAATAATGGGCTATTGTACTTATATAGTGTGGGCTAACACTCATAAGGAAATGGGCTAAGCCTGAATGGGAGTCCATGGATGATCCATGGAGCTTTTAACCCATGGATCCTTGGAATAGGAAAAGACATGGGTTATTAGGGTTTGCATGGTTCATAACCCTAATCATCTACACTATATAAAGAGGCTTATGGTGCTTGAGAAGACACTATGTGTGTGTGCATAAGGTGTGGCCGATTTCTAGAGTATTAGAGTGCTCTCTCATAAGTTTTCCAAGTTTGTGGTGATTTGTGATTTCCATTTGAGGCATTCACATTATTGGTGCTTGGCTCTCAAACTCCCAAGGAATCAACTCACTAACAAAGGTATGTAATTCTTCTAGTCTTTTATGTTTAAAAGTACCCATGTATGCTAGATAGGTTATGAACCTTGGAAAATTATTTTGCATGTATTTTAGACAAACATAGATCCAAGGTTTCTAGGGTTGCATGAACACCTTAGGAGTGTTAGTTTGCTCAAAACCCAACAACTAAAGCATGGGACATGTATCTTCCAAGCATGGTAAAATATATTAAATAAATCAAAAGGAAGCATGCTTGGTCTATTCGTTATTTTCAAAAATTGGAATAACAACAAGAATCCAAGATATGCTCCATACCATTATTTATAACTAGTTGTATATATACATATCATCTTTATAAAATACTATCAATTATATATATATATATATATATATATATATATATATATATATATATATATATATATATATATAATATATATAATATATATATATAACACATAACTAGTCATATATAAATATCTCTTATATGTAAAACTGCCTTTTATATATAAATAAAGTCTAACTAGTTTATTAAGATAAGTGTAACTTATAAATAATCATACTTTATGATATATTTCATAAGTTGTTATTTCTCCAATAAGTATTATTTCCATAAATAATAAACTCTCAATTAGTAAAATATTATTTCCATGAAACAATAATTTTCCAATTAAATACAAGTGTTGATATATTTATTAATAGTCAAATTATACTAATAAATATTCAACTGATGGTAACTTGCTATAAGGTTGTAACCCTATAGGATCATATGTTATTAGCAATATCATTCTATAATGATTCTTGGGCGTACAAGATCTTTCAATCTCCCACTTACATAAGACTCGTCATAGATTGATACAGACAATGTTGAACATCTAGCAACATTTCACTGCCCCCAATAACATATGACGAAAAATGTCATTTATCAACATCCAATTCCCAAAAGCTCCAAGATTCAATTTATGTATTAAGGTAAGTTTATCAGTTATCCCTTTGTTACAGACATCCTGTTGAACATGAGCCTTGGATCGCAATCAATCTCATTTGTAATTCAACTTTGAGTAATGAGCATTAGATGTCTACCTCTCAACACGTAAGAGGAACAAATCCCATCTTGACTATATAACCCTCTTGTATATAGTTCACACCATACCTGAAAATGGCTTTTATAACTGTCCGATTAAGGATCAACGTTTGACCATATCAAAGCATAATACTCTTTACACTTAAGTCCTACTATGTATCTCAGGTGTTAAGAATACAAAGATAGTACCTTTTAAGCAAGTGTCACTCATGACTGCGATCTATGAGTTGATCTTGATGCGGGTCCATTCAGTACTAGTTCTCTGACAAGTACCTATGAAACTTGGTTACAATTTATATTAGTCTTGCTTCATAATTGTTCCCACAATTACAATCGACTATAAACTTATTTCAATATTTATTGTTCAAATTTTCGAGTGTTACACTTTGTGTTCTTGAAACTTAATGAGAGAGTGTGAGTGTATCAGATTAGTTAGTTTTTTTATCCAATAATTATAATGGTAGAGTTAACAAATTATAGGAAGAGTTTTGCCAAAAATGCCCTTGATAAAAATGACACTTAGATGGTTTTTAACCTTTAAAGGTTCTCATATAGATATATATAGATATAGATATATATAGATATATATATATATATATATATATATATATATATATATATATATATATATATGGTTGACATAGTTTTTGAAAAGAAAATATCCAAGTTGTTTTCAAATAACCTACAAACAAACACATTTTATTATATTATAGAGTAATGGACTATTTTTGTTGTTTTTACATGTTATAATATGTTATTTTTTATTTTTATAATTATGTTTCCAAATTTATTTTATACAATTTTTTTCCTAATTGTTTTAGTTTTTTTAGTATTTTTTTCACAATCTGTTACAAGTTCTTATACAACTTTATCTTGACTTTTTTCTATTTTTTTCCCCATCTTTTTATAGCTTTTCCAATTCTATACAAGTTTTTACTTTTTTATATTTTATTTACGCTTTTTTTCTCATTTAACGTATTTATTTAGGTAATGTGAGAATGTTTTTACATTTTTATTTTGTTTTTTTCAATATTAAATACCATAAGGAAATGATGTTTGTCATGAAATTTGGAAACGAAAAAGAAATGATTTGCAAACTTTGCAACAGGTACTTTAAAATTTTGAAAGGTTAAACCTTAATAAAGTGTGTTTTGTGTTATTAAAGCTGATATTTTTTTATTGATTTAAAAGCATTTTATCTAAACAAATAACGAGCTACGAGTCATTTAATATGGTTTTCCGTTTTGCGAAAACTAGACGAATCGCCGTGCGTTGCGCGAGAATACAATTATATAGTTAAAATAATAATAAGTTTTACCAAATTATTATTTAATATTTCTACTTTGAAACAAAATGTTAGTACTAAAGCAAACATATAGTTAATATATTAGTTTTATTAAACATTATAATTTTAATTTTTAAGTCATTATGATGTATACAATTATTTAATAATTTTATAAACTTTTTAAAATTGTGTAAATTATATATCAAACGTATGATAATCTATAAATAACGGGTAACAAAATGTATGAACAAAAATATGTTCATCATAAAGAAGCCGGGTGTATTTGGATCGGATCGAGCCGATCCGCTCTTGGACTGGATTGATTTTACAGAAATTAATGGACCTCGGGCCGGATCTGTTAAAGTTTATCGAGTCCAGGTCTGATTTCTGATTCTTAGACATAAGGATGAACATTTGGATCGAACGGGACCAGACCGATTTGGCAGAAAATGTATGAATAAAAATATGAACTACAACTTTAGTAACATAAAAATAAAAAAACATCTATTATAACATTTGTATTAAAAAAAATATATATACAACGAATAATAAAAAATATGAAAAATAACCACTAAAACTTTTAATAACATAAAAACACTAAAACATCTATTATAACATTTATGTTAACTCTTCATATTTAATTCACAAATCTCTTCAAATACATTAATGTTTTTAACGAGCAAAACTTTACATGAAAAGAAAATAAAAAGTTATTAGTGATTACTAATTAATAATCATCAGTTAAAAACTCTTAAGTTGTAATTAATAAATATACATAAATTAGAAAACTCTTGATTTGTAGTGTAAGTTTCAAATGAATGCGGAACTTGAAAATGTCTATTTATTATTATTATTATTATTATTATTATTATTGGTTTTGAAGCATCATTTTAATTCCTTCAATTATTAAACATAAAGATATTTAATTATAAATTTATAACATATATAGGTGCATATATGTTAAACAAATCACATATAATATATATTTTCATAAATGTCATATGTAATTCTTGTAGTAGTAAGATGGATAAATTACTTTCATATGAAAAAGATATCATGATAAGTCAATCATAATTACATATCAAATGTTAAAAATTATGTTATCTTTTAAATATTGTCTTGTAAATATGTTGTGTAGGATAACCCAACAAAAAAATAATATAAAATAAACATAATCAAAATAGAAAAACTACAATCAAATAAATAAGAACATTGGGTGGTTGAATATATAAATAAAAATATTACATAAATAAACATTTAAATCAAAAGAAAAAACTAACATTCGTCTACTTTGCTCAAACAAAAAAACCTATATCCGTTTTCTGAATCTTCTTTCTTCATTTAACACTATTCAACTATAGAAACTTGATGACAATTCTTCACTAACCTGCAATCAAAATGTTTTTCCTGAAAAAGAAGAACAGAAAGATATTCCTAGCAAAACATTGATGTTTGGAGAGTAACATTCAAGATTGAGTAATATACACAAGTCACATATAAAGATTAAATGTGTTATAAAAAAACGAAGAACGCAAATTTTGTAAAAAAAACAATATTTATATCAAATTTATAATGAAATTTAAAATTTAGACCAACATTATAAAAATAAATGTTGACATAATAGGTCGAAAATTGTATTTTGTCTTTTTGAATTGGTGAGCATTTGGACTTCTGGATCGATAACCCTTAATAGGTCCGATCCAAAGTTCACCATTTTCTGCCAAACCGGTCCGGTCCCGTTCGATCCAAATGTTCATCCTTATGTCTAAGAATCAGAAATCAGACCTGGACTCGATAAACTTTAACAGATCCGGCCCGAGGTCCATTAATTTCTGTAAAATCAATCCAGTCCAAGAGCGGATCGGCTCGATCCGATCCAAATACACCCGGCTTCTTTATGATGTAACAAGGTCGTTTATTTAAACTGTTTTAGTATAAAGTGGAGATTCAAGGGGGTAATAACACAAAGCTTCAATACGCTGAGGGTGTTATATAATCACCTTGAAAAATACAAAAGTTGCTCTCTTGAACTTCGATTATGGTATAAAAAGAGCTCCTCACAGCACCATCTTCACTTTTTATCTGCTGATTTGAGGGCCTGATTTACATTAATGGATCAGAAAATCAATGTTTTCGTCTGGGATATGGACGAGACTCTCGTCTTACTAAAATCCCTCATCACTGGCACATATGCAAAGGCTTTCAATGGCTCTAAAGACGTTCAAAAGGGTATAGAAATCGGCAAAACTTGGGAAAATCAAATCCTTCGGATTTGCGATGATTACTTCTTCTATGAACAAGTAAGTAAAACCCCATTAATCTCTCCTCGACAATTTCAATTTTACTTAAAAAAAGCCCTTTTTTTTAGTTTTATTGGCATGGGGCTTGTTCTTGGTCACAACGCATTAATTCCTTTTCTGCAAATCTTGATTATTGTTGTCGAAACACTAATTTATATGAAGAAAAGACCCACTCTTACTTTTTTGGAATTTTACTTTTGATTTGAGCAGATTGAAGGCTGCAATAAGCCTTATGTTGATGTAATGAGGGAGTATGATGATGAATTAGATCTCACTGATTATGATTATAAGAATGATGGTTTTGTTGGTGCCTCTTTCAATGATGACGCCAACAAGAGGAAATTGGCATACAGACATCGTATCATTGCTCAGAAGTATAAAGAGGTTCTTTTTACCCTTTTAAACCTCATATTTGAAGGAATTTTATTGTTCCTGTTTTTTCAAAATATTTTGATTTCTGGATTCAGTTTGTGTTTGATCTTAGTATTTATGGATATAAAGAAACTTTCATTTCTTTATGTTACAACCTTATACTTTAACAGATCTAACCAAGTATAGCAATATCATTGAAACAGAAAGCAAATTTCTACTGCTATAATTGGGTAGATTTTTCAAATGGTAGTAGTGCCTTAATAAGAAAAAAAAATGGAAGTACAATGCTGAAACAAATAAAAGTACGATGCTATATTACTAGACAAATAAATGAAAGATTTTTTTACTATTTCTTGCATTTAGCCCTAGTATTTGTGACTATACTATTACTTATTATAAAGTATATGAATAATCTTAGTTATTACTTTTTTATGGTTTGAAAAAGTTAAATGAAACCCTATACATCTTTGATTTAGAATGTCAAGATTGATTTTAGAAATTCAACATGTATGGCATAGAAATCATAGATTGCGAATGTAATCTCCATGCTAGGTTTTTTTTTTCTTGATTTTTAGTTATTTGAAGGAAAAGGGAAATTTATTTGTAAAGTTGGTCAGTTTTTGAATTAGAACTTTTATAGCTTTGCAAGGAAAAAGAATGTCATACTGTGTTATGTATCCTAATTCTTGAACATGGTAATGTAGATTATCGAATATTAAACAAATCATATCGGTTTTGAAGTTGAAAATAATAATCACACTTGAATTAAAAATGACACAAAGATTCATGACAAAAATTTTGAAACGAAAAAACTAATTTATACAATTTATTAAACACAATTAGTTCTTTCATGCCTCATTCGAAAAAAGCTTGACACCCTAAAGTTCCGATCTTTTGATTGTGAAATTACGTGCATGCCCTTCTTAGACCTATTGTTTAAAAAAAGCCCTAAAAAGCTTGTCTAGCCCTTTCTCGTGTAACAAACACAGCCTAAATGCTCTATACCATGGAGTTTCTGCTCTAAAAAAAGGAAATTTACATGTTCTTTTTTGGTAACATTGATAATTTATTACTTATTTTTAATGCCATTAGCTGATTTTTCATAAGTCACTCTATTTTCATTTAAGGAAAAGTAATTAACTTTCCATAATTATGCAGGGATTGCGTAGTGTTTTTGGTGAAAAGATGATAAAATCGTGGGACAATCTTTATCAGGAGACCGATGATTTTACAGACAAATGGTTGTCTTCAGGTGAATTGGCTTGAATTGATAAGTAATTTTAATTCCTCTCATTGTTTCACATATGTAGTTTATCAGATTAAGTCTTGTCTGCATTAAACATTATGTAAAAAAGAAACAAATTCTTATGCTGTTTCTTGCATTCAACCCTAGTTTGTAAGCTCGAAAGTCATCTGATGACTTTTTTCGTGAGAACATGTGCATGCTAGTTTACTTCATGATAATTATTAATTAATGTTTGATATTTTAACGATCATTCACCTTGTAGAGATTCATACATCTATAAGGTAAAAATACTTAAAGACATCACATAGACTATTGTAGGTCCCATTCATTTTGGTCATTTTTTGTGGGACCCATCCATATGGTGTTAGAAGAATTGATGATGTGATTGTATGTCTCATTCACATAATGTTGTAAGGCCCACAAAATGGATGATTTAGGAAAATGGCATATGTATGAATAAAAACTTAGGGTGTTTCTTTTTACTTAATGGGGAAAGGACTTAATCTAGTAAGTTGTATATGGGTGTTTCTTTTTGACTAACTACAATGCGAACGACTTAGTAGAGAATGTCAGGAAAATGAGGTTTTCCCATTAAGTCCTAACTTTTTTTACAAATTCACCTTCATTTGTTTTTTCTTCAAAAACATCATTCATCCTGACTTTGCTTAATGGGAAAAAAAAAGATACATAGCCATAGATTTGAACTTAATTTCATATGATTCATTTGTGCACTTGACTTGAATTGCAGCCAAGGCTTGTGTGGCGGAATGTGCAAGTGGAAACAAAGATTCCATTCCGGATGGCATCTCAGATTCCACAAGTTCAAGAATTGAAAATGTGAATGTTATTGTAACTTCTGGCTCATTAATCCCAAGCCTTGTCAAATGCTTGCTATTTCGGCTTGATGACTTATTTTCGTATGACAATGGTTAGTCACTTGTACTTCCAAACTTACATCCTTTAAAACCTCATTTGTTATACAGGACATGACATAACAAGTTGTACTGTATTTCTACCACATTTGATCTTATGTCAACGAGACAAAAATTGCAATTTTTTGTCCCATTTCAAGGTGGTGTCAGGACTTGCTCTTGATCTCTAGTCTGTGTAAAAGACATGAATGCCCTTCTTATCCTCATTATCGAATGTTGTCTAGGTTTCTCTTGTGTAACAAAGCAAAAAAGCTTTAGGTTTTATTTGTGTAACCAATTGAAAATCTATGATTTAATGCAAGAAATAGCAACGTACTTTCATTTGTTTGTTTATCATAGCGCTCTACTTTCATTTCTTCCTATTATAATACACAAATAAATGAAAGTACATTGCTATTTCTTGTATTTACCCTTAAAATTCATATTATGTAGCTCCCATTTACATGATGTGTTCTAATTGTGGGTCCCATCTAGTAAAAACAGATGGGACCCGCAAACAACAGATAATATTCAAGTGATTGAAAGGAAAACTGACAAATTTTCACAGTTTACAGCTCATGGGAAGTAGGGAAGTACAAATGTTTTTCATTGATAAAAGAACGATTCAATGGACCAAACGTGCAGTTTTGTGCGATTGGAGACGGATGGGAAGAATGTGAAGCCGCCGAAAACATGCAATGGCCGTTTGTGCAAATTGACCCGGGGCCCGTTAGTACCTCTCATCGTTTTCCAGGGCTCACTTTTGAGACTTTGGGACACTATATTGGTGTTATTTATGGTGATGATGATGATGATGATGATGATGATGATGATGAATAAAAAGAATGAAAACTGCATGAAATAGAAACTCCTGTGATCGGAAATTGTGTGATTTTTCTTTTAAAATTTTTTTAGGGTTTGGGGGTTCTGATGTCAACTGTTGCAACCCTCCCGCCCAACCCGTAGTATAAACTCATGTACATTGTAAATTATATTTAATCTTTTATCGTCTTTGACTTTCGTATATTTTTGTTTGATGATTTTAAAAGCTTTAATCATATGTCAAATACATGTCATGTAGAAAATAAAATTTGATGATCTAGATTGGAGGGTGGGGTCTGATGGTGGTGGGTTCTGTATTACTATAGAGATAAAAAGGTAAAAGGTAAAGGATTAGGGTTCAAAGGACAAAGGTATCACATAATTTCTTTGTAGGATGAAAAATGTTAGAAAGTTTTAGAATTAGAAGGATCGTATTTGTAATATTTAGTAAAGCATGGGGTTCAAAATGAATGTATTTTGTTATTTCTCCTACTGTTTTTATCTTTTGAATCACATCACAAAAAGTTTGTCAAAAGAGGTGATGGTGATCATGATAATCATCAACCACACAAAGAAAAGATGAGATTTGATTTTTTTTTTTTTTTTTTTTTTTTTTTTTTTTTTTTTTTTTAAAGTTATGACATGTTTTTCTTTCTTTCTTTAGTTTCTATGTTTTATAACAAATAAAGAGAAATACTAATGAAAATGAAACTAGGGTTTTATAACAAATAAAGAAATTATGTTGTTACCTTTTTCGTAGTCATAGTTTTAATTTACAAAAACATTAACATAAAGTTGCTGCGTGACTTCATTGTTTTGATTTACAAAAAAAAGAATAATATTAATATTAATAAATAAATAAAAAGAAAAAAGAAAAAAGATTAAAGATACCTATTTTGTAATTATTCAACTTCTTGTTATTTTATTTTAAAGTATACAATCAACTAATAATAGACACAATTGATTAGGTAATATAAAACAAAAAGAACTCGTAAACAAAAATATTAAATTGCATCTTTTCTTTGATTGATCCATTAATGATTTTATTATTGTTTACCAATTTTAAGTTAATGTTTTTAATCATCGTGTAGTATATGCTAATCAATACAAAAAAAGGTCTGAAGTTGATTAAATATTATAAGATACTAAAACAAAAATATTAAATATTGATTACCATCACAATCACCCCATTTAGGCCATTTCGTGATGCGATAGGAAACACACATGAGGAAGAAAGTGTGATCCTCTTTTCCATCGTTCCTTCACCATCTTCTTTTATCAATCTGTTTAATAATGTACCTAAATGTTATATATATATATATATATATATATATATATATATATATATATATATATATATATATATATATATATATATATATACTAGTTTATAACCCGTGGAAATCACGGTTACAAAATTAATTGAATTTTTATAATAAAAATTTAAAATTATTAATCAATTATTTTAAATAAATTATTAATTAAGAGATTTTTTTAGTTATATAAAATTATAATCATTGATTTAAATAAATATGTGAAATTATATCACTTTATAATTTGTATTAATTTTTTTTTTTTTTTCTAATGTTATTAATTTAATGTAATTAGAGTGGGGAATTTAAATTTTGAAATTTGAAATGGAGAATCAATGGTTGACAAGTGGCATGCATTAATTAGAATACATAATAAAGTGACACATGACAAAAGGAGAATAACATATGCATTAATTAGGAGACCTAATAGAATGACACATGTCAAAAGGAGAATAAAACTATTCTTTTATTAGAATAGGGATATATATATATATATATATATATATATATATATATATATATATATATATCTATATATATATATATATATATATATATATATAAAACGTTCAATAGAGAACCATTGTGAACCTTCTCAGATTCATAGCGTGCATAATAGTAAGTCAGATTCACAGTGTGAATCTGAACTGATCGAGCTTTTTCACATTGTGAATGTTAAAATTTGAAATATTTACAGTTTAGATTCACAGTGTAAATCTACACTGATCGACGTTTTTTTTTTTTTTTTTTTGAACTTTCTCAGATTCACGGTGTGTATAATAGTAAGTCAGATTCACAATGTGAATCTAAACTGATCGAGCTTTTTCACATTGTGAATGTTGAAAATTGAAATATTTACAGTTTAGATTCACAGTGTGAATCTACACTGTTTTTTTTTTTTTTTTGTCGGTGTTGATGTTTATTAATAGAGTACAAAAAATTAATATTTTTGGTATAATTAGTTTTTTTTTTATAAAAATAAACTTAAATATTGAAATAACTAACAAAATGAAGTAGGTTTTTTTCGAAAAAAAAATTTTCGTTTTTTTATATATCAATATGGATCTCTATGGAAAGAGGACGAAAAATCGAGAACAACGGTATATTCGGTTTTTTTTTTGACAAAAAATATAGCCTAAAAAAATTTTAAATGAAAAAAAGAGGTGCGTTTTTTGATAAAGAGGTGGATTTTTTGGTATAATCCGCTGTGTGTGCGTCCAATATAAAAGTGTACATTCATTTCCTTGGCCGTTGATCATTATGATTTCCGACGCTCACGATTGGTTCATTGGTTCCTTGTTAATTATGGTTCTCTATTGAATCTCACCTATATATATATATATATATATATATATACACACACACACACACACGTAAAAGATCAAATGAGAACCACTAAAAATTAAGAATCTTAAGAACATTAATTTTAACTAATCATTAAGGCTAATTGTATAATTTCTAGTATTTTGATTTTTTTAAAAGCTTTTATTAATAGAAAAAACAATAAGGGTATTATGGTCACTCTTCTTATAAAATATTTATGACTAATAGATATCACATCTAGTTCTCATTTCTCACCAACACAAAACACAAAGTTCTACCACCACTTTCTTTCTCCTCTACTTCTTACCTTAGATACCACCACCGGCCACCGTCGGTTATCAGATTGACCACCACTTCCTCCATCCCTGTCGATGTCTCTTCCCTCTCCCTTCATTTGTGGTTGTTCAGCTTTAATTATTTCTCTCTGATCTATATGAAAACCACCACATTTGTTCAGATCTGGTCAGATCTGTTCAACTATCAGATCGACCACCATGCCCGCCGCCTCCGCTGTTGTCGCCACCGTTACTATTGTGCTCGTCGTTGTGTACTATCACCGTTGATGCCTATCGTCGACCACCAAAAATCATCATTTTCATCATATATGCGATGAACCACCACCGTGTTCTTTAGATCTTTCATGTTCATCAAATCTTCCCTGTCACTACCGCTTCCACCGTGAACAACAACCACTGATCTGATGTTTTGTGGTTAGATATGATGAGATATGATGAAAACTCACCAGATCTATAGTCAATCGACGTATCCAGAGGCTAGATCTACAAGTTCCGGCAACTGATATCCGATGAAACATGACAAAACACCTCCGTACCTGATGTAAAATTGATGTGTTTCAGGTTAGATTGTAACGCCCCGTTTATTTAAATAAATTAATAAATGTAAGTCCCAGACTGATTTGCGAAGAATTTTAGATGTTGAGGGTTAAAGGTGTAAATTCCAGATTAGTTTTGTAAGTATTTATGAAGCCAGGGAGTAAATGGTAATTTATGGGACTTCATTTGAAGAGACTATGGAAGATAGGGGACTGTTTGGTAATTTTCGTACCTAAGTTGTAATGAATTCTAATATTCAGGGTTTAAATTGTAAATATTGGGTTAGATTTGAAAAGATCCCTAGGGGAGGGACCAGAGTTGTAATCATGGAAGAAAGATTCAAGGGGTGCCGGGTATTTAATCTCACCCTTAACCCTAACCCTAGCGGCATATATCAGCCGCCAACCTTGTCTCCCACCGGTGCCACCCTCCATCCCGATCAGTTTCCATACGCCACCTTCTAGCCACCGTGAAGCCGCCATTGCAACCGGGTTCCCGAAGAAGACGAAAGCTGCTGCTCCGGCGTGATTCGGTATAAAGGTCGGAGACCCACTGTTGCATCGCCACCACCTGGTTTCTTTCATCCTTCGATCACCCTCCCAGCCGCCACTCCCGCTTTGCTCGTTTTTCGACCAGTCGAGCCGCCGAGCGGCGGAGCTCCTACCTTCCAGCAAGTGCAGTCGACGACATGACTGCCGAGTGAGTCCGTTGCCACCTTCCGCCGTCCTCCTTCTTGTTTTCTTTCTGGGTGCCGCTCACAGCCGCCCTCAGCTGTTGCCGGTGCTTTTTCTAGTCATCTTTCGCTCCTGGTGTTATTCCACAGCAGCCAACCTTTCCTTCAATGCCCCGATCGAGGTTCACCACCAGTAGGAGGGATCAACTGAGTTCGTTGGGTGGGTGCTCGTGAGTAGGTGTGTTGACGTATCGAATTCAGTTGCATGTGTGTGTAGATGGCCGGAAGTCAAGCAACCACCATGGCAGCCAACCATGGTGGCTGCCGCCATGAATGTCTACTTCTGCCACCACCGGCCACCGTGAGGTGGTGGCTGTGTGTGTGCAATATGGTGTTGGTGTGTGTGGCATCAATATGGAGCTGCATTAGCATTCTCAGTCGAAAAATTCTATGAAAAACCCCACCACCACCACCTTGAGGTGGTGGTTGCCGCCAAGCACCGCCGCCGGCCACCATGGTGTGGCTGCGTGTGTGTTAGTTAGTGTGTGTATTAATTAGTGTGTGTGTTAATTTGGATAAAAGCCTTGTAATTATAATTATCTTTGATTAATAATAAAAATAATAATAACCACCACCGTAAGGTGGTGGCCGCCGCCGCGAGCCGCCATTGACCACCACTACCCGAGGTGGTAGTAGGTGGTGCCCCACTAGCAAACCCTAATGGGCTTAGAGATTGGTTTTGGGCTTATTGGGTCATTTTTGGGTGGAAAACCCTAATTATGAGTATTGGGCCTTAGACTTATTGGACCCACTTTTGGGCCATTGAGATTGGATTGAATATTAAGCCCAATTATTCCATGTCATTTATCTAGCAGAGTAAAGGAATTAATGGATTAAGTCTTTAATGGGCTAAGTGAGAAAATCCTAATTTTGAGAATTTATCGGGACACACACACGAGAATTATTTAATAAGTAAAATATTAAATAATAATCATTGGCAG